TGATGGTATTGGTAGACGAGATTTATTCATATATAGTTAAGACTAAAGAGATAAATTCAAGCTCGTGTGCTCTTCTGGCGAGGAGGTGGAAGGAAGGTAGGGATTTCTTTTTAGTTTAATTCATAGTTTATTTGTTTGTAAGGTGCGGAGCTTGCATGGGGGAACAGAAGCCTAGGGTGTCCAGAAACCATCTTGCAGAGGGTAAATGGCTGTGAGGAAGGCAAGGTAGACTGAGGGACACAAGGCTCTGACTGCCCCAGATGCCAGTAGCTGAAGGAAAAACAAATGTGACCTAAGAAACTAAAGTACAAGAAGTCAAAGCCCTACAGTAAGTGGGACCAAAATCTTGATAGTCACTTGTGACTACCACACTGAATCCACTACTCGTGCCATGGTTGTGGCTGGCTGCCACAACCATGGGCACTCCTCCAGAGTCCCTGCCAGCTCAACATGACTTTACAGCTCAACATGACTTGTGGCTCAACCCAACTTTTGGTGGCTCAACATAACTTTTTTGTGGCTCAACATGATTTTTTTGTGGCTCAACACAACTTTTTTTTCTATGTGCACAAGCACTACTTGCCAGTACTGCAGAATATGACTTTCAAAATCAGAAAAGTCAAGTTGAGCAAGCAATCCTTGATGCTGGCTATTTTGTTTTTTTTTACTTTTTTTTTTTTTTTTTTTTTTTTTTTATCTAATATTATTGTGGAGCAGCAAAACATTATTCAAGAAAACACTGTGAATATGACTTCGAATTATTGAAAAGACATGTACCAGAAGCTTTAAAAAGTGTATCAAATCAGCAAATATAGAAGTACTGGTCTTGAACAGATAGAATTATGAAAGCATATTGGTCTAAAGTCATATATGCTTCTCCAGAATATGAAAGTCTTGTCTACAGGAGACATACTAGTAACTCACACAGGCATGTCAGCACTACTGGTTCTGGCTAAAGTCCTGTATTTTCATTCTTTCTTTCTTTATTTCATTTTTGAATTAGTTTACTATTATCTCATGTATTAAATACAAAAGGTTTACAAGTTCTCATACTATCTGGACCTGCTCCAATTAAACTCTTGACATTCGACATTGAGAAATGAAGTAAGCCACCCCTAACCCTGATTATTTAAGGCATTTTGTTTTGAAATGCTAGTGGTCCACATTTTGGATGTCCTCTACCATACAAAAAATAGTTGTGTTGAGCCACCAAAAGTTGGGTTGAGCCACAACCGTGGCACGAGTACTCCTTCGAAATGGTGGAACTCCAGGACGAGCCTAACTAGCTAGGGGGGGTGGGGGGGTTGAGCTTCGTTGGGAGTATTGTGGTACCTTTCACTGGTAAGTTACTTACTATCATACCCGTGGTTAGACATGAGCTCGCAGTATGATAGGGCGGTCAAGGTGGGTGGGTGGTTTGTCAATCGTAGCCATCATCCACAGACAACTTTACAGTGGTCATTCTTGTTGTACAAGGTCCGGCAAGAAGTTATGGAACAGTTATTTGAGGTTAACCAGCCAAATACATCCCTGTCTGTTCCTGTTAATGGGTCCCTACCCTTGTACGTACGGTACAGTACCGGTATTCGGGCTGTAGGAACGCAGTGACCAGACACAACGCACCCCTCTCTCTGGCACGTATTTCTGCTCATAGAAGATACACAAAGCATATTTTATAACCTGTCTTGAAACTAGGATATAACGGAGTGAAAAGAACATTAAATCTTTCTATTAAAAAAAAAAAGACTCCAACCAAGTTATCAATGAATGGATCCTCGGATGAGTATAACTTGGTATCAGTGACGATAACGAGCTCTACAACTTTTCTAGAACCGCCTGCATCCAGCACCTGTACATCTTCACCTGTGTCTTTCTATTAACCAGCATTCTCCGGTCGACGCCCATGTCGTTGATTTTGAAGCCGCCAAAGTCGCCTTTGGGAAATGTATTTCGTTCTCCATCATCATCATCATCATCTCCCTGCTGCTTATCTCCTGCACCTGGGCCCTCGACATTCACTTCCTTCTTCACCTCGCCAGTGAATATCCACCTCAATTCATCCTCGTCGAAAAAGTACACCCTAGTCCCATCCCCGCGCACGTAAAAGTTCTCCTCGAGGTAGCGGCCAGCTTTAAACCTGACCTGTGCCAAATCCCCACGTCCGTAATCCCTGAACAGGACTTTCCCACCTATCTTCAGCATCCTGCGAACGTTGGCGAGCGCATCAGCCCACTGCTCGGGACTCAGCGCGGAAAACACAAACACCATGATAACCGCATCAACGCTCCCCTCCGTCACTCCTTCGGGCAAAGTATCTCTCTGCGAGAGGTCGTAGACGGAAGCACGAAGCCTGACCCCCCTCTCCACCTCCTTCTTAAACTCCTCCTGCTCACGCACCAACTCCACAGCCTTGCGGCTAAAGTCACACCCGTGCAGGCAAAGCTCCTCATTCCTGTTGAGCCTCAGCACCGGGAACAAGGTATTCCCGGCCCCGCATCCCAACTCCACGATGGTGGCCGTGCCAGCGCCCTGACTCGTCAGTGCCTCCAGCAGTGGGAACTCCTGGTGCAGCCATTTCCGGTCCTTGAAGAAGTTGGTCGTGTTGTTCTTGTAGAAGGCGTCCCACCACTTAGCCGGATCGCTGTTGAAGCGCTGCTTGTTGAAAGGGTCTACCGGCCGCGATCGTTGGAAGGAGATCTGTGCAGCCGAGGTGGCGCGGTAGGCTTCGTCGGTTTCGACGTGGTCCCAGGCATTGTGCTCGAAGACGCTGGATGGGTCGGTGAGCAGGCGAGTGCCGAACTTGAAGGGTGTGGGGTCTTTGGGATCCTCTGGATCCTTTGGCGGGGGGAGCTGTGTTGAAGTGTCCTGCGTCATGATTTCTGACACTAGAGCACCCCTGGCTGCGGTGGTATGGTAGGTGTGGAGGTGTTGAAGTGGGGTGGTGATGGTGGTGGTGAGATAGGTTGTCGACAAACTGATCGGGTGCCAAGATTTACCGCTGGAATGGGAGATTTGTATCGTCGATTCAGGAATGATCCGCGCCAGGAGTGGAAAGCGACAGACCATAAGGGTGCAAGTATTTGCGGCCGAGAAACTTCTTTCTGCTCAAAAATAGAGATAAAAACCTTTGTACCGACCTTCGAGACCCAGACCAGGATCTGCAGGTTGGTATGAAAATTACCCAAATCTTCAAATGTTGATTTCATATGGAGAACGCCCACATAATGCCTCTGGATAAATTACAGTGCCTTTGATGGTAAGCCGTTGTCGTATCCTTATCAATAGAATTTAGACCTAAAGCTTAGATATTGCTCTAGCACTATTTCACCATCACAAAGTATCACTCACTTCTAGACTAGTGTATTTGTTGTGATAATATTGATAGATGATTGATACGGTGAGCATGTTTCAATAGTATTCCTGCTTCGGCGTCAAAGGCTTGTTTTCAAGGAGACTGCCGGCGGAAAAGAGCGATCTACGATAGTTGGTGACATATTGGGATTGAGTCGGTAGTTTCAATGAAGGACATAGCACACGTATGACCATATAAAATGCTCACTCAGTTAGATTCCCTCGGGGCATAAAAAAACTTACGCACTGCAGAACATTCTAACATCCCGCCGCTAGATGATTAATCCCACCAAAGACTGCTCTATCCTATACCAGTGCAATCCAGCACACCCAGTCAATATACAAGCCCCACAAACACGCCAAATAGCCAAACATACAGACAGCATTCTATCGATATCCTTCTATCTCCGTATACGTGAAACCCACCCCTTCTCCAGCATAACCCCCCCCCTCCGTCAACCAATTCTCACCCCGCTGCCCTCTCCCCCTCCAGCACCTGCGCCTGTGACACTACCCTCTCCCCCTTCGCTCCCAAAACCTCCCCAGCCCTCCTCTCAAACGCCTCAATCATGACGCCGGCAACCTTCGGCGCAACCGCCGCACTAACAGCCGCATAAATCGGATTCCTGAACCCAAACTCCAAGAACAACGACACCACACTTCCCCCCTCCCCCTCCCCACCCTTCACAACCCACCTGGTAACCAACCTCTCAAAAATCCCATTCCGGTCCCCATTCGCCTCAACGGTACCGGCCTCGGCCGAGCACGTAACGATACTGGAAAAAGTTTCATCGAACGAGCCCCAAGCCACGCGGAGCTCTGCTTCCGTTGGCAGGTGCGTGTGCGGACAGGTCCGGGTGACGCGCGAGCCGGCGCAGTACGGGAGGAATTTGTGGTAGGCGTTTATGTCGGCTACTAGGCTGAAGAGGCTGCGCGGTGGATATGGGAGGGATTTGCTGGTCGTGAAGCGCTGTGGGGGTGGGGTGGCGGTCGGGAGAGGGAAGAAGTGGCGGTGGTGTATTAGGGGTTTTTTGGCGATGGGGTGGTGAATTTTTGGGCGGGGGATTGCCAGGCGGGGTGGCATGTTTCGTTTCTGTTTGTTCTTGGGTGAGTACTCGTAGAGTCGGGGGTGGGAGGGTGGATGTCAAGGAGATTGGATGATACTGGTAGACTATGGGATGGTGGTGTTAAATGTATTTGTTTGTGCCAAGACAAGCGGACTTTTTAAGCCGCGATAGCTTGGCCGAACAATGGTAGTTTAACTTTGCCTTACTCGTATGATACTTTATCACCCGGTCAGTGTGAAATCCAACTCTCCAATATCTTCTGAGGATACAATCCCAGGATCCCTAAAATGAGCTCCCATCATAAGAATTTAAGCATGCACAGCATCACAAACAGCCAAAACACACGACCTAATACAGTATGATACTGTACCAACACTAGCATCACAGACCCTCACTCGTGCATACCATCCGAGCCCAACCACAGCTCATCTAAAGCCTCCCCCGACACAACGCAAAAGCGCCCATAATAAATAAAGGGTGAAAAATCACAGCTGGCAAGGACGCACAGGTGGGGCCCCCGCAACCTCTCTCCTCCTGGGGTCAACAAACAAGTTGTAAATATTCACTAGACTTCATAACTCCGGCACCGTAGCGTAATGGCTAACGCATTGCTTTCCGGTTCTTCTAAAGAAAATAACTGCCTGGCAAAGATTGTGGGTTCGAGTCCCGTCGGTGTCGATTGGTTTCTTTTTTTGCCATCCCCCATTGGATCCCACCATACCCAGCCACTGCGGTCATTGGAGCATCATGCGAATAGGGTAACACCCGTATACCGATATTATTATAAAATAAGCTTTTTTCCTTCTTTTTTTTTTCCTTCCAAGCCTTGACCTATGTGACCGATCTCCGCGACAACCATTCGTCATCCAAAAGCACGGCTCCTTTCGATAAATACTTGCAATCTCTTTTCTAGCACCCGCTATCAAATGATTTCTCCCCATCTATGATACATCCCTTCACGATGATTCTTCGAGCAGTAGCACCCTTACCCCCCCACCGCCTATACCAAAACCTCAACCTCTACTCAAGGATCGTCACCTCCCTCTTACTCCCGCAAATCCGCACAGCACACTCTTTCCGCGGCAACGACTCCCGAAAACCCGCCGCACCCCGGCAAGCAGTGGAGACAATGACAATCCCACCCCCGGCCCTCCTCTCGGCTTACAAATCCGGTGCGAGCCCAATCTCCCCGGGCGCAGCCCAGGCGCTCATAGACGACTACGCGGGGAGAACCACGTCTCCACCGTCGGAAGCTCTGGGCAAGCAATTCTGCAGCGGTTTGTTTGTTCCATCCCACCCCCTAATTCGCGATGGGGATAAAAAAATGCAATAATAAAAGCTAATTAATGGGAGGGAGGTAAAAAAAAAAAGACCATGGAGTAACGCCGGAGGATTTAACCACCTTAACCCGTCTCCTCCTCCGGCTTGGTGCCCAGGGTAGCGCCCCGCTGTTATGGCATTTACTAACCACCTGCGCGCACATGAATGTTCCCAGTGCAGTGGTGCGTCTGCACTCCCTCCTCACGACACAGGTCCTCCGCGGGAAGGCGTCGCCAATGGCGCAGGTGAATCTAGACGCGACGACCAAGCGCCTGGCCATGATCGCACCGGAGCATGCGGGCGCGGCGCTCAGGATGGGTGAGGCGGCGGAGACGGCGGGGAACCTTACCGAGGCGGAGGGGTGGTTCGAGAAGGCGGGCCGGGGGGGGGTCATGGAGGGGTGGGTCAAGTTGGGCGTACTCAGAAGGAATAGGGGAGACTTGCAAGGGGCTAGGGAGGTTTTTGAGAAAGCGGTGGAGATGGGGAGTGCTAGGGGGTGTTATTTTCTTGCGCAATCGATGGGGGAGGAGGAGGCGCGCGCGGAGGGGGCGGAGGAGGGGGGGGAGATTGAGGGTGTTGGAGGGAAGAGGTTGGGATTACTGGCTAGAGCTGGGGCTGGTGGGGTTGTTGAGGCGGCCTATGAGCTTGGGTCTTATTGGCGAGGGAGGGAGGCAAGGTTTGCTGAGGAGTGGTTTCTCGTTGCTGCCTCGCAGGGTCATGTAGAGAGTATTTTTGCTCTCACTCAGCTTTTAATGGAGAAGGGGCGCATATCGAATGCTAGGACTTGGGCACAGAAGGCGGCGGACATGCCAGGGGAGGTAGGGGCATCCGGGACGGAGATATTACAAGAGCTAAGCCAGATGGAAGAAGAGAAGAGGCAGGCGGAGAGGGAGAGGGAGGAGAGGGAGGAGAGGGAGGAGGAGAGGGAGGAGGAGAGGGAGGAGGAGAGGGAGGAGAGGGAGGAGAGGCAGGAGAGGCAGGAGGAGAGGCAGGAGAGGCAGGAGAGGCAGGAGAGGCAGGAGAGGCAGGGGGAACAATAGGTCTCACTTCGCATTCCACTCTAGTATTATAACATCTATTACTGCTGCCATATTTTCCATTTTATTTTCCGTGCAAGGGCCTTCATTGAACCAGGTATCTATTCAACATTAAGCTCCACAACCATCACAGAAAAACACTATTCAACGTGCAGTGACCGCGCTAAGCACGTTTTTCATCAGGGGACCAGAGACAAAGTAGGTAGTTGAAAGCAAAGCAAAAACAAAACATATTTTATTCTAGAGTTCCATTGGGTTCGACTAGAGCAGCGGCAGGTGCCACCGTGGGCTGTATTTTCTCAAGCATTTGGTCGAGGACACTACGATTGTTAAAACTCCCGCCTATACATGCCAATAAGGGAAGGGGCAAATACCCAGCGCTAGCAGCCACAAAACCTAGATACGGCTTGCTAGGACTCAGCACCCTGGACAAGTATTCCGGATGGAACTGAACGCCAACATAGTAAGGGTGGTCCTTCAACTCGACAATCTCCATTCTCTCACCCTTGTCGTCCTTCCCAACAAAGTTTAATCCAGACAACCTCTCGATATACTCAGGATTGACTTCGTAGCGATGTCTATGGCGTTCCGAAATGGTCTCCTTCTCACCGTAGAGCCGGCGGAGCTTACTCCACTCACTGTTAGGCTGCCAAATGGTTGAGCGGATACCAAGACGCATGGTTCCGCCAAGATGAGTTTTACTTCCCTCGGGCATAAAGATGACAACCGGGTCAGTGGAACTAGCAGAAATTTCAACCGAGTGAGCGTCTATGAAGATGTCAGTGATTGATGCTACTACCCAAACAAATCATCCTAAACAGACCTTCGAGACCAACGACATGACGAGCATACTCAATCACAGCAATCTGCATCCCGAGACAAATACCAAGGTAAGGTATCTTATTGGTGCGAGCCCACTTTGCCGCTGCGATCATCCCTTCAGTACCCCTAGCTCCAAATCCGCCAGGAACCAAAATACCGCTAGACCCAGACCATTAGCATCTCTCCACCCAAATGCAGGGGTGGATGAAAGATACCCAGCAGTACAAACATCATGCCACGCCCTATGAAACTTGGCCGGATTCTCCTGCTTCATGTGATCCTCCAAAGCCTCGGCCTCAACCCAAACCAAGTTCAACTTACGCCCACACCTCATAGAAGCATGCTCTAAACTCTTGACAACACTCAAATACGAATCGTGTAGATCAGTATACTTTCCCACGAGCGCGATGTCGACTTTATCGAAAAGTCTGTCCTGTGCAAGGGTAAGGGTCTTCCACTCATTCCATATGTCGATACCCTTCTGGATAAGGGCCGGTGCAATACTGAGTTTCTCTAATTCCAATACAGATGTGAGGAGATGAATTAACTTTTGTTGTTCCAGGAGAAGCGGGACATGGTATGTGGAATTAACGTCATGAACTGCAACCACCTGTTCATGTGCAACATCACAGAACGCTGCCACCTTCTCGACAGTAGCTTTACTCAGCGGCTCCTGGCAACGACATGCAATCTGTTCTGGATTAGCCTCGGTATTGCATCCCTGGTGTACGTAAGTTAGACATACAAGATCAGGTGCGAGACCCGCAGACCTAACGTCTCTAATGGCCTGTTGGGTGGGCTTCGTCTTCTGTTCCCCATTCACGACTGGAACCAAAGAAACGTGAATCTGTAAAAAGTTTCCTTTCCCAACGCGACGCCTAAGCTGTCTCATTGCCTCAATGAAGGGCGCAGATTCAATATCTCCCACAGTCCCCCCCAACTCTATTATACAAGCGTCCGGTTCCTCGGAAGTCTCGTCGACGGGAATGCGAGCTACACGTTCGATCCAATCCTGGATAGCATCTGTGAGGTGAGGAACGACCTGGACCGTCTTCCCAAGGTAATCACCACGTCTCTATTTTCCCCCCAGTTTTAACAAAAGAAAACTCACCCGCAACACTGAGAAGGGCTGAGAGGGGAAAACAGACCTCCCGCTCAATGACATGCTGATAAATCTTCCCCGTAGTGATATTATTCTCCCGAGTAAGTGTGATATTAAGGTACCTCTCGTAATTGCCAAGATCCAGGTCGACTTCACCACCATCATTAAGGACAAACACCTCACCGTGTCTGACCACTGCCAATCAGCAACCAGCGAATGACTCCCCAACTTCCCGACTCTCTCGGGAGAGAGGAGGGAGAAACATACTCGGTGGGAGCCATAGTCCCTGCATCGACATTCATGTATGGATCGATCTTAATGGCCGAGACGTAAAGCTACGGTTTAGCGAGAGGGGTACAATAAAACCTAGAGTGAGGAGACAAATCTTAAGACCAATCGTCTTCAACAATAGACCCGTTGAGGAAGCTAATAAAATGCATCAGCACAGACTGTATCTCACACCGCAGTCGAGAATGAAACAATCCCACTTACCAATAACGCCCTTCCCAATCCCACTAATCACACCTAGAATTTGATCGCCACAATTAGTCCCCCATTACCGAACCCGAAAAGATGGGAGGGAGATGAGATAAAATGCTAACCTCCAGAAACAAGAACGTACTTCATCTTTCTAACCTTCGTTTCAAATTTGATAAGAATTTTCTCAAATGGAAAGGAAAGAAAAGAGAGACAAGACCCAGTTCGTCGTTGTAAACGAGCGTAAGGTGGGAAGGGGGGGGGAGGAAGGAAGGAAAGGGAAGAGAGTAAGATTGGAAAGGGGATACTAAGTAAGGCGGGCAGGTGAAAGGTAGGAAGAAAAAAAAAAAAGGAAAAAAGAAAAAAAGAAAAAACTTGAGGCTGTGAATTGATGGGGTGGGTGGGGGAGCAGAGGGGCATTCGAGGGAAAGAGGTGCATTATATCATACCTAAACTACCGGTAGCAGTCCCCACGCGGCCGCTCGAGACCTCAAGCCTCGGAATTTGCTCCTGCAGGTTCAATATTAATTTCTGTACGAGTAGCTAGCTACAAGATCATCAACACCGTCCCAGTTTACGGACCTTCAGATGTGATGCTGTCCTTGGTGTAATTCCTTTAACAGCAAACTCGAGTAAGGTGTAATTAGTCTAATGGTCAGTGTAACGTGTTTTTTTGAGTATCGAGGTCCGAGGTTAGTCTACCGTAAGCACCAGCGTGCGTTCTTACGATACCTTATACCGGTACCGTACGGGATTTTATGGTATATCACCATGGCAACCAGCGTCCCTAAACCGCTTTTGGGCACTTAGGCAAGGGACGTTTGCCTGCCTGTGAGTTTGGTCTGGCCCCGCACATTCGCGAGATATGATACCAGTAGTCTAAGTTAGCTTTCCCTTCATCACCACCACCACCACCACCA